ACACAATAATATGTTACTAGAAGAAACACAGACATGAAGAACAATGGACTAGAATAGAAGGCTTCAGAAATAAACCTATACATTATAGCCACTTACATTTTGACAAAGGTGCCTGGGATAATCTTTTCAACTTGTAAGATTTAGAATCACTATGAAAAAAAATTTCTGGGACCTGTCTATGAAAGAGTTTCTAGACTGGGTTACTGGATTCAGGAAGACCCACCCTAAATATGGGTTGCACCATTACCTGGGCTGAAGTCCTGGATCAAATACAAAGGAGAAAATGAGTTGAACTCCAGCCTTCACCTCATTCTGCATCCTGATCGCAGATGCCCTGTGGCCAGCTGGCTCCTGCTCCTGCTATGCCTGCCCTGCCATGATGAACTGTGCCCTCAATTTGTGAGTCAACAGAAAACCCTTTCGCCTTTTAGTTTCTTTTATCAGGTAGTTTGTCACAGCAACAAGGAAAATAACTAACATGTCAAAAACATTTGCTGTGGAAAAGATGGCCTTTCTAACCAATTATGTTGAGAAGACTGGATTTTCATATGACAAGAATTAAACTGGAACTAGATTTCTCACTCTCCACAAAAATAAACTCAAAATGGAGAAAAATCAGAAACTTTGAAGGACTAGAAACTTTTCCTGGTAGAGGAAAACATATGTATACTTATGACCCTAAAGATGTCACCAAAAATTCTTATACCTATTAAACACCTACAGCAAGATATGGGAACAGACAAGGATTCTCTAAAAAGGACTTCAATAGCATAGAAATCAATCCCAAGAACTGACAAATGGACTTGCTTGAAATTAAGAGGCTTCTGCACAAGGGAGATTAATATTCAGGATACATGAAAAACTGCAAAAATTAAACACCCCAAACACAAATTAGGCAGTCAACAAATGGGCTAGTGAACTGAACAGACAGTTCCCAAAAGAAGAAACACAGATGGTCAATAATTATGTGACAGATTGTTTAACATCTTAAGCCATCAGGGAAATGCCAATTAAAACTGCTTTGAAATTCTACCTCATCACAGTTAGAATGGCTATCATTAAGAAAACAAATGACAACCAATGCTTGCCAGGATGGGGGGCAGGGAGGAACCCTTATTCTCTGTTGATGGGAGTATAAACTTACATAGCCATTATAGAAAGTAGTATGGAGCCTTCTCATTGAGAACAGAACCACTGTATGACCCAGGTACACCATTCTTGACTCTAAGTCAACATACTACACACTATATGACCCAGGTACACCATTCTTGACTCTAAGTCAACATACTACACACTGTATGACCCAGGTACACCATTCTTGACTCTAAATCAACGTACTACAGAGATACTTGTACATTCAGGTTTATAGCTGCATTATTCGTAATAACCAGGAAATGGAACAAGCTTATAAATGTCCATTAATAGATGAAAGGATAAAGAATATGTAATATATACACGGGATGGAATGATGATATTTGTAGGAAAATGGATACAACTGGAACTCATTATGCTAAGTGAACTAAGTCAAACTCAAACAAATATTATATGCTTTCCACCATATGAAAGACTTAAACTAAAATGTATATGTCTGTGTATAAAAATAAACAATCTAGTCCCAAATCTGAGAAATTGAAGTCTCATATACTTTTAGTATAAAGCATAAATTTAAGTATAAAGCATAAAGTATACATTTAGAATTTATGGAGAAGCTGAACATCCAGGAGGAATTCAGTGTGTGGATTTACAACTCTCAGTATAGAAATCTCAGTTTGGGGCTGGGGAGATGGCTCAATGGGTAAAGGTACTTGCCTCCAAGTCTGAGAACCTGAGTTAGATCACCAGGACCTACATGGTAGAAGGAGAGAACTGACTTCATTAGTTATACTCTGACTTCCACATGTGCACTGTGCAATGTGCACACACACACACACACACACACACACACACACACACCACACTTACCTACACACAAAATAAATAAAATGTAAAAGTATAAAACAAAAATCTCTATTCATTGTCTGACTGTTAGGTCTGATGAGCACAAAGGGAGATCAAGTTAGAAAGCCAGCAAATGGAAGATGAGAAAACTGAACAGAGATGTTCGCTCTTCATATAACTAAGATCGGAGTTTGAAGTGTGAGTAAAGATAGATACACTGCTTGCTAGAGTATAAAAAGACAATGATGGAGGTTGAATATCTCTAATCTGAAGATGCAGAATCTGAAAATCTTAAAAATTATTATTGGATTTATTTATTTTTATTTTATATGTATGAGTGCTTTGCCTGCATGTATGTAGGTGGACCATGTGTGTGCATTGCCAGATAAGGGTATCAGATCTACTAGAACTGGAATTGCAGGTGGTTGCTGGCTACCATGTGAGTGCTGGGAACTGAACCCGGGTCCTCTGTAAGAGCAGCTAGTGCTCTTAACCACTGAGCTATCTTTCCAGCCCTGAAATCTGAATCTCTTTGAGTACCACATGACACTCAAGGAGTTTTGGGTTTTAGTTGGATTTGGTGATGCTTGCCTGTAACCCCAGCACTCAAGAAGCTGAAGCAAGAGGATCAAGAGTTTGAGGCCAGTTTGGCTACATAGTGGCACCCTATCTCAAAAGATAAAAACAACAGTTTGGGGTCTTGAAGCATTTTAGATTTTGGTTTAAGGCTGCTTAAGTCCATGAAAATATTTCCAATCTGAAAAAGTCTGAAATCTGAAATGCTGCCAGTTCTAACTTTTGGATAAGGGGCACAGAAGACTAAAGGGGCAACTACTATAGTCAATATTTAGTTTCTAGCCGAAAGTGTCAAATATGTAGTGACATAGAAACTGAACATCCAGGAAAAAAAAATCGGTCTACAGCAATGTAGTATAAGTGGGGCCAGATGTTCGACTTATCAAAGATTTCAAACCAGCAATTGTAGCCTGGTGATCTGTAATCCTAGCCACTTGGGAAGCTGAGGTAGAAAGGTCGTAGGTTTAAGACACGCCTGGGCTACAGAACAAGTTAAGGCCTGTGTAGGTACCTTAATGAGACCCTTTAAAAAATAAAGAAATAAAAGTAAGAAGGGGGTTGGGGATATAGCTCAGTGGTACAGTATTTGGGTACAAACACCTGTGCAGCATGTATGGCAGAGTGCATAGAGTTCGGTGGGGGAGGGGGGGAAACAGAGATAGGGGAGAGGGTCTGGATGTGAGCCAGAAATATTGTGCGAAATTTTAAAAGCCCCCCCCGAAAAAAAAGTAAAAAGGGGGTAGGGGATATAGCCCAGTGGAACGGTATTTGCCTAGTGTGTGCAGGACCCTGAGATCAATTCCCAGCACCATACACAACAGCAAATCAATGAAACAATCAAACAATCCCCTCACAGTAATTATAAATACATCTAAAGAAGTAAAGAAAAAACATAATCTTTATAAGCAAACAGGTAAGTACAACTCTAGAAAAAATTTAGGATAATATATAAATTTGAAAATTTCACAAGAGTCAGTGAACTTAAAGGCATAGTAGTGGAAATTATCTGAGGATCCACTTACAGAAATGAAAGAAAATTGAACAAAGTTTCAAAGGCTTAGGGGCCAATACCAACAATACCAAGCTTTCTTACATTTATTTTTTGGAATCCTTCAAGAAAAGGAGACTAAAGATTATTATGAAAACTTTTTTTTTTTTTTGCCAATAGAGTTGAAAACTCAATTGAAATAAATTACTTCAAAGACGAAGTACAAAAAACTCAAGAAATAAATAACAGAGAGTCCAATATTAAGAAAATTAATTTGTAATTAAAAGTTGTCTTTTTTTTTTGGTTTGGGTTTTTTGAGACAGGGTCTCCCTGTAGCCCCAGATGGCTTGGAACTCTCAATGTAGACCAGGCTACCCCTGCCTCTCAAGTAAAATAAAAGTTTATAACATTCCAAATCTAGTAGAAAGTTATAGATTCAATAAATTCAATGACTCCAAATAAGAAATGATACAAAGAAAAAACACACTTAGCTGCACTATAGCTAAACTTTTAAAAATGAGACTGTACAATATATGAAGGGATCATTTTACTTTATATTGTGCTTTAATTAAAATATTTCAAGGCAAGCAAAGGAAGAACATACAGAATCAGATGCATGTGAAAATGAAGCTGGGACTGTGAAAAGGTCAATAAAAGTAATACATCTCTAGTTATACTGATCAGAAATCATACTCCTTGAATATTCAGAATAAAAGAGTGAAAACCCGGCATGGACACACAATTTTAATCCCAGCACTCGGGAGGCAGAGGCAGGCGGAGCTCTGTGAGTTCAAGGCCAGCCTGGTCTACATAGTGAGTTCCAGGTCAGCTGGGGCTACAGGGAGACCCTGTCTCAAAACATAAAAGAAATAAAAGAGTGAACCTTGTTAGAAATCCAAGAATGGCAAAGAATTATCAAAGAATTACTGTTTTATTGCAATAAATACAACTGAATTAAAATGAACTACTTCAAAGGTAAACTCTCAAAAACTCAAGAAATAAAGTATGATTAACCTAAGAAAATTGAATTTTTAATGGAAGGTTTGAAATAAAGAAAAATGAATACCTTCATGGGTAAATTCTATCCAACATATTTTCAGATTTATAAAAACTATTCCAGAAAGTATGAACTCTTTCCAAATCATTTTATACAGCTAGCATTATCCTGATACTGAAACTAGACAGATTACAAGAAAAGCACAGACTAATCACTTCCAGAAACATAGCTATAAGAAAGATCAATAAAATGTTAATAAGTACAGCTGTATACATGACAAATATACCATGACGAAGTATCCTGGCAACTAAAGATTATTGTAACATTGAAAAACAATGAAATACCCTATAATCAAAAAAAGGAAGAAAATAGCTAATGATAAACTCAAAACATACACAAAAAATTGAAAACATTTTGCAATATCATAATGAAAACAATAAAGTAAGAAAAAGGAACCTCTTTAACTGTACAAAATAATTTGTATAAAAATTATAAAGTTGCTTGCTTTGGCAGCACATGTACTAAAATTGAAATGGTCCTGAGAAGATTGCTATGGCCCCTGTGCAAGGATGACATGCAAGGTGGTGAAGTCTCAAATTTGTTTAGGTATTAGAGTTACTTAATATATTTTTTTTAGGTATTAGAGCTCAATGTATTCAAGCCATAAGTGAAAGTATCCAAGTTTTCTAATTTCTTTGTAGTACGTTTAACTGTCTGATTTACCTCTGCTCCCATGGGTAGACTGTGCATTCCAGTGATATATGTTGTACTTACTGTCATAGCAGATAATAAATCCTTTTGAGGGCACAGCCCTTACTTGGCAAAAACAAACAAACAAACAAACAAACAAACAAACAAGAACTATATAACTAATATCATCCTTACTGTTAAACAAACTGAATGCTACCAGGGCTACGTAATGAGACCTCGTTTCAACAAAACAAACAAAAATGAATAAATAAAACCCCAAACTGAAAATAAAACAAAACAAAAAACCTGAATGCTTTCTCTCTAAGATGAAGAGGCAAGGATATTTATTCATCATTTCTATTTCATATCATGCTGAAGTTCCTTACCATTATAATCAAGGAAACGAAAGGATTAGAGGTTGGAGAGAAATGGGAAAAACTTTAAATTTATAAATGATAGCATAATGTAGAAGGTTCTAAGGATTGTATAAGAAAAGTGGTTAGAATTAATCAATGAAATTCAAGATTAATATACAATAACAATTTATATCCATACCAACAACAAAACAATTCTATTTATAGTAGCATTCAAAGTTATAAAACAATACCAAATTTAAAAATATACATGAAACCTACATAGGGAACACTGTAACATATTACATAAAAATTAAAGAGAAAACTGAGGAAGATTTTAAATAAATATATTAATGGGTTAAAGATTCAATATAAAGATATCAAATCTCTCCAAATGAATCTATAGGGTTTTGTTATTATTTTTTGTTTTCTGAAACAACTTTGGTATGTTACTTAGATTTGTTCCTTCTGCCTTAGCCTTTCAGTTGCTGGGATTACAGGTATGGACCACTATGCCTGTTCCTTCCTTCCTTCCTTCCTTCCTTCCTTCCTCCCCCCCCTTCTTTTCCTCTTCATCCTTCTAGGATACAGTTTCACTGTGTTTCCCAGGTTCACCTCAAACTCTTGGGCTCAAGCTATCTTCCCGCCCCAGCTTCCTTAGTAGCTATGATTAACAAGTATATGTCAACACACCTGGCTAACCAAAAGAGTTAATGCAAATTTAATATCTTAATTATTGAAGATGAACAAGTTCATTTAAAAGTTTTTATAAAAATATAAAGGCCCTAGCCAGGCATGGTGGTGCACGCCTTGAATCCCAGCACTCAGGAGGCAGAGGCAGGTGAGTCTCTGTGAGTTCAAGGCCAGCCTGGTCTACATAGGGAGTTCCAGGACAGCTGGGGCTACAGGAAGACCCTGTCTCAAAAAGACAAAATATATATATATGAAGGCCCTGAACAGCACCCCTGAATTTTGAATATAAATTTTTAGTACTAATGTAAGACTTAATTAGATTATAAAACAAAATTGTGTTAGATCTTCTAGGCGTCTTTCCAAATTTAAAAGATAGACATCTATTGAGAATATGAAACAACTGGAATTCTAATAACACTTCTAGTGGAAATATGAAATGGTACAACAATCTGGGCATTTCTTTTTTTTCAAAGAATTATTTTACCTTTAATTATGTGTATGCTTGTTCATGTCTGTGTGTGGGTATGTGTGTGCTTTGTTTAGTTTTGCTGTTAACTTGACACCAACCAACCTAGACACTTCTGGGAAGAAGAAATTTGGTTGAGTAATTTCCTCCATTGAGTTAGCCTGTGGGACATTTTCTTGATTGCTAACTGATATAGGAGGGCCCAGCCCACTGTGGGCTGCCCATCCCTGGGCAGGTAGCCTGGGCTGGATAATAAAGGTATCTGAGCAAGGCAGGGGAAGCAAGCTAGTAAGTAGCATTCCTCCACGGTGTCTCCTTCAGTTCCAGCCTCCAGATTCCTGCCTTGAGTTCAAGCTGTGGCTTTCTTTATAAGCCGAAATCCAAAATAAATCTTTTCTTCCCCCAAATTGGTTTTGGTCAGTGTTTTATCACAGCAACAGCAACCAAACCACAACAGTGCACATGAGTGCAGGTATTCATGGAGGTCAGAGAGGGCATTGGATCCCCTGGAGTTACAAGTGGCTGTGAACTGCCTGATGCAGGTGCTGGGAATCAAACTTGGGTGTTTTGAAAGAGCAGTAGTGAACTTAACTTCTGAACTATCTCTCCAGCATGGACATTTCTTATGTAAACAGATACTAACCCTGTGACTTATCAATTTTCCTTTTGGTAATTTACTCAAAAGAAATGAAAACATGTGTTCCCATTGAGAACTCAATGCTTTCACTATCAAGATCTGAAAATAACCAGATATCTATTTGTGGATAAAGAGTTAAGTAAATTGTATAACAAAATGAATTATCTACTGATGAAAGGAATCAATGTGCAATAGCATAGCTGACACATGTAATAATACAGTTGATCTCATGAATATTTT